AGTCCCACATTCCTCACAGGCCCCACAGTCCCCACAGGTGCCACACATCAGGTCCCGCAGGCCCCACAGGTCCCGCAGGTCGTGCAGGCCGCACATGTCCTTCCAGGTCCCACAGGTCACACTGGCACCACAGGTCCCGCAGGCCCCACAGGTCGTCCCGTAGACCCTACAGGTGTCACAGGTCCCACATGTCACAGAGGTACCCAGGTCCCACGAGTATCGCAGGTGTCGCGGGCCCCACAGGTCGCAAAAGTCAACAGTTGCCACCTGCCCCACAGGTCTCGCAGGTCCCACAATACCCACAGTTTGCACAGGTCCCACAAGTCCCACAGGTCTCGCAGGTCTCGCAGTTCCCGCAGGCCGCAGAGGTCCCCCAAGTCCCACAGGTCCCGCAGGTCGCAAAAGTTCACAGCTCCCACCTGTCCCAGTGGTCGCGCAGTCCCACAAGCTCCATAGGCCACAGAGGTTCCCCAGGTCCCACAGGTCCCACAGTTCCGACCTGCCCCGCAGGTCCCACATGTCCCACACGTCCCATATATCCAACCAGTCCCCCGAGTCCCACGGGCCCCACATGTCCCACAGAGCCCACAGGTCCCACGTGTCGTACGGGCGCCAGAGGTCCAAGAGGTCCTACAGGCGGCACGGGTCCCATATTCTCCACAAGTCCCACAGGCCAGAGAGGCCCCACGGGTCCCACATGCCCCACAGGGCGCACGTGCCGCACGGGCGCCGGAGGTCCGAGAGGTCGTACAGGCCGCACAGATCCCACAGGTCCTACAGGCCTCACAAGTCCCACAAGTCGCGCATGTCCCACTTGTCCCACAGGACCACAGGTTCCACAGGCCTCATGGGTCACAAGGGCCCACAGTTCCCACTTGCCCCGCAGGTCCCGATGGTCGCACGGGTCCTACAGGTCGCACAGGTCCCACAGGTTTCTCAGGTCCCACATGCCACACGGGTCCCACAGACCCTTTGCCGCTATTGGGGTGTTTTGATAGGGGTACGACGTGGCGCTTTGGGGCTCTCTGGCCTGGAGAAATCACGAGACGAACCCCAAAAGGTACGCAACACATCCCACGAGTCACGTGAGCAGCCTCGTGGAATCTGACAATTGAGGATCTGGGCACTTTCAGGAACATGTGATAGCAATGTTCAACATGCAGTTGCCTGCGGCAAATCCCGCCACCGTGCCAGCGCAGCAGCGCAGCAGGAAGGAGGTAGACTTTAACACGCTCTCGACTTGAATGCCTTGTTTCAGCTGGCGCGGGTCTTCACCGCTTCCTCTTGTCCGCAGTTGTTTTTTTTATGTTGTTCATATCATTCGTCCTCGTTCCTTGATTTCAAGGTTAATGAAAGTTTCTTTGAGGCTCCCCTGGGCCTCTCGGGTGCCTCCTCCGGAGCCCCCACGGAGGCCTCTTGGGTCCCCGTCTTGGGGGTCTTCGGCCCATTCTGGGGCGCCATGCTTCTGCCGAGCTCTCTCCCCAAGAGAGGGTCCGTCGACACAGCTTGGAGGGCGTCTGGCCGGGGCTTTGGGGGGGCCATCTTGAAGCCCGCGTGGACCGTTTTCCAGGGTTCTCGGGCAGTCTCGGGGCCATGGTTTTGTTATCGTTTTCGCATTCATTGTTATGCCGATCGGCGTCGGCCCTCGCACCCCTTCCCCCCCCTCCCCCGTGATGGAGTAGATCTCGGCTGTTTGGGGCGCCTGTTTCAACCAGGTGGACAACTCCCCATTGGATTCCCAATGGGAGCACTGTTCCAAACAGTCGTACTAAGCAGAGGTCCAGAGCCAGACCTCCCACCCTCCCTCCCCCCTTCCGCTCAATGTCGAAACGCTGAATAAGAAAACGTTCACTTTTTTGGATCATTTTCGGGCCTCCTTGGGGGTTCTCCGAAGCTTGCCTGATGCGATCTGAGGCCGTCCATCCTCGGAAGCACAAACACAGAGTTCCCTCGGAACGTTCAACATGTTTCGCTTCCGAGGGCCTCTCTGGAGGCCTCTTCCGGTCTCTCCTGGAAGCCGCGTGAGGCATATTGGGAGCATCGTGGGCGCACCTTGCTATGCGGATCTTGGATCTGTGTTGGGGCTGGTTTGGCGGTCTTTGGACATTCATACTGCGTCTTGTAGCCATGTTGGCGCAAGCCGTTCTAGATCAAGGTTGGTTCGATTACCGCAGGCTCACAGTGCAGGTGACGGCAGCATTTTTCAGAGTCTTCGCAGTGAGATTACATGGATGGGCAGGGCGGGCGGCAGCGCTGCCGCTCTGGAACGCCGCCCCGGGCAGACGGAGCTAGTGTTCACCGACGTGATGGTCAGTTGTGGAAATGTCCCCGTGGGCAAGACTCCGCGCTGGGCAGAGAGAGCCCGCGGATATTGGTCGGCCCAGCCGGCGCGGGGAAAGCGTAGCTATTCCGACTCTTGCTAGCGCTGGCACTCGTGGAAGGCCCTGGCGACAGAGGATGTGCACTTCTGCGATTGGCACCAGGAGCACGGCACGCTTCGTGGGCTGCTTCTGTCGCGCTCCCGGTCTCTCTGCGTCGCCGTGGAGCTGGGAAGCCGCATCCCGCTCTCCATCTCGGCGGCGGGCGCGGTCTCGATGCCGAGCATCCCCGAGGAGGGAGCGCTGGCGAGGTGCACGGACAGGAGCCTCGAGACGAGGCAGGACTGCCGCAGGGAGCTGGCGAAGATCTGGCGCCAGCGTGCGGAGGCGGTGCACCTGCTGCCTCTGGGAGCCGCGGCTGGCCATATGCCGAGCGGCGCCGGGCGCTGCACTCCGGAGGCACGGGCTCCCGATCGGAGGAGGCGGCGGAGGGCCAACGTGCCGGGCGGTCGAAGCCGACGGCCAATGCCTGGTCGCAGGCGCGCGCTGCCAGGGGAGCCCGCGGGCTCGGCTCGGGCAGCGCAGGGGGGCCCCCGAGCAGCCAGGGCGCCCTCGGGGGCGTGGGCGGCAGGGGCGCCGGCCAGTCGCAGGGGAGCAAGAGAGGCCACGAGGGGATGGGATGTTTCCAGACGGCCAGGCTTTCGTGCTGAAGCGCGCGGGCTCCCGAGACGGCGGCCGCGAGAGATGCCCTGGAGCAACGTGGGGCGCATCTTGAGCCAGTCGCAGCATGACAACATCACTCTCGTTTTGCCGTCGGCCTGCTCTGGGCCGAGAGTCTCACGGTTGTGGAGCTGTGGCTTGAGACGTTTCAATTCCCCCCCTTCCTCCTCCGCTCTCCTCCCCCCGTCTCTGCTCCCCCTCCTCTTCCTCGCTCTTACGTGCCTGACGTTTCACCCGTCCGCAGCAGTGCCGCTGGCTGTGTGCTATGGACGGTCGTTTCACTTGTTGCCAGTGCACTTACTTCTGACGTGCACGTCGCTTTATTTTCTTTTTTTTCTCTCTCTCTCTCTCTCTCTCTCTCTCTCTATCTCTCTCTCTCTCTTTCTCTATTTCTCTATTTCTCTTTCCGGCTCTGTCTCTCTCACTCTCTCTGGCCGGGCTCGTTTCATTTCTGGATGCGTGGCCGTATTTGGCACTTGGCGGCGCCAGGGAAGCCAGTGGATTGCAGCCGATGTCCTGCAAAAGGAGGCCATGATGTCTTTTGAATGCCGCCACGGACGCTCAGCTGATAGAAGTCTGCAGGCGTTCAAGATGTCTACTTGATCCGTTCCGCTGGAACCTTACGCGTCTTTCGCAGCCAGGAGCAAGCGGTGTTTTTCAGTGCAGTACAAGCTTGATTTGCGTGTTCCGAGCATGTTCCGTTCTGTAGCAGAAATTATCAGCCTGCAGCGGTGGATCGATTCGCTGTGCACGGTTGCGTCCGCCGACCTACGTCTCAGCGTGCCTTCAGGGAGGAGGACGACGACGACGAGGACGAGGGGGCAGGAGTTTTCATGATTCGGGGACCAGATGTTGCGTTATTCGGTGGGGCCACGCGTGTCGTGTTTTCTCGAATGCCGCCATGGATTCATCGCTTACGTAAGCTTACAGGCGCTCAGGATGCTTCATGGATCCGTTCAGCTGGACATCGCAGCTAAAGGCAAGCGATGATTCTCCATCAATGTGAGTTTGAGCTGCGTTTCCGGAACATGTTCCATTTTGTCGCGCTGATGTTCCAATTTGCATCCTACAGCGGCGGATCGATTCGTGCTGTCCGTTCTGCGCGCCGCCAACGGTCGTCCTGATCCGATCTGCGCACATCATCCGCTGTGCTCGCCAACAATATCGCCGCCAATCCACCCATGGTTGAAGCATGTTGACTGCTAGCGCTGCGAGGCCTTAACCAAGTGTCTGCTCCCATTCCCTGGCGCTTGTGCATGTCATCATAGCTCATAGCTTCATGCCCGTGGTCGTATGGAGTGCTTCTGGGTGGCAGACGTCTGGATGTCGTCGTCCATTCGGCCACTGCTTCGGCTTTGCGAGCACCCGCGGTCGTTCACTTCTTCATTATTCGATCAGGGAGCTCCGCGGTAATGGTGTGCTGCGCCACTTGGTCGAATCAAGGACTTCCAAATAGCGCGAGGCTAGAGGCTTCTAATACCACGGGAGGGACGGGGAGCCCGAGGTTGCCCGGTCCGGCAGCCGGTCTGGCAGCCGTTTCGCTCGAGACGCCTTCACAAATCATTCTGGATTCGCCTTCTCGCCTCCATCCTAGCTGCATTCTTTGTCCAGGCGGCCACGATCCATTCTTGACTCACAAAAAAAAACATACAGCACGTGGCCGTGCCCTCACCCTTTCCCCGTCTGTCTCACCGCCTAATCCTCGACCCACGTCTCCTCCTTGGCTGCTATTAGGGTGCGTTGCGGGGGTTCTTTTTTCAGTGCGCGGCCCGGAGGACCCGACCCCTTCCCTGGGGGCAGCTTGCCGTCCTGGATCCGTTTTCGATCGTCCTGGGCCCTGAAAAGATCATATCGTGGAAGATTTCGAGTTTCTTGCTCGTTAAGTCGGCTTGCATGTGCCTTGGGGAGGGTCTGTCTCTGGCTGCCCTCGGGACAGCCAAGCCACCCTGGGCGTGTCGGCAGGAAGCGTTCGACGTGGTCAGCGACGCCTCCGCTGAGCAGCAGTTCAGGGTCTTCGACACCAAGGGGACGGGGAAGGTCGACGCGTGCCAGGTGCAAGCGAAAGCTTGTGGAGGAGGAGACATGGGGAGGGAGTAGGGAGGAGGAGGAGGAGGAGGAGGAGGAGGAGGAGGAGGAGGAGAAGGGGCAAGAGCGGGAGGGAGAGGGGGAGGACGAGCGCAGGGAGAGGAGAGGAAGGAGGGAGGAAGAGAAGCAGGAGCAGAAGGAGGAGCCAGAGCAGCGCAGGTGACCACAGGACCAACTGTCTGCGTGATAGATAATGAGGGGGGGGGGTCAAAGGCATGTGAGCGGGCCCCTTTCTGAAGGGCAAGAGGATGGTAGGGTTTTGGAGCCTGTTCTTGGAAGCAGTCTCAGACAGGCCGCTTCGAGTACACCACATCAGGTCGCACCTGGAGCTTGATGAAGTCATGGCCCTAGGGTATGACATTTTCCTTGTGCAGGTCAAAAGACTTGCGGACAAGGCTGCGGAAGAAGGGGCCAACATGGCCAAAATCCGATTTGATGACCGCAGGCAGATAGCAGAGGTAGACAGCGGGACCTCGGAGCTTCAGATTATTTGATGGCAGTTGCTCTTGCCCTGGCACAGCAGGCCCAGGCATTGCACGGGGCTTCTTCCGAAGGCAATCGTCAAGAGGAGGCCAAAGACTTCGTTTCCAAGCAGAGGGCTGCGGAGGAAGAACTAGTAGAGCAGCTGTTACCCAGCACCAAATCGAGAAGGTCAAGAATGGACAATGGAAGCGCCAGGCCTGTTGTTTGACGGAGGGAGGGGGGCGGCCTGGCCTTCCTCCAGTCCAACTGTCGCGGCGCCCCGTCACAAACTCATGGGTCCTACCATGTCGGATCCTTCCGTGGGGTGGTCTGGTGCCAGATCTGTGGTGGAACGGGGGCCCCCTCAAGGGGGAAGCTGCAGAAGTTCGGTCGCCAGTGAATTGCTGGCCTGTCGGTCCACGGCAAAGGCGTCCTGGCTCGTTTTTCGGCAGACAAGTCCCCTCCTGATGTCCAGGCGCAGCCTGGGATTAGGGTGAGCACCGAGGTCAGCTCCTGTCGGGTCGCTGGCGGGGGGATGGATCCCTCGCCGGCGACGATAAAAGTCTCCTCTGATGGAGCTGGCATCGGACCCTTCTTGGTTTCCCCGGAGGCCCTCATTGGACCCATCCTTCGCAGCCAGGCGAGCGGCAAGAGGAGAAGGATGAGGAGGAAGGGGAGGAGGAGAAAGAGGAGGAGGAGGATAATGAAGGAGGAAGCGAATGACGGAGGAAGAGGAGGAGCATTAGGGAGAAGAAAAAGAAGCAGGAGGGAGAATGGATGAAGAGAAGGAGGAGAAGGAGAAGGAAGGGGAGGAAGATTGAGGAGGGAGGAGGGGTTTGGAGGATAGAGGAGGAGCTGGGAGGAGGGAGGGGTCAGATGGAGAAGGGGGGGGCTAGAGAGAGGATGGCGGGAGGAAAGGGAGGACGAGACGACGCGTCGTAGGTGTTGATGGTGTACATCTTCTTGTCGCAGGGAGACCTCGCGCGCAAGGTCGACGCGGTGTTCTCTACGTTCGGCTTCGAGGGTTCGCAGGGAGCGCACGGCTCCATCAGCTTCGACGAAGCAATCATTATGCTGACCGCGTGTATCCAGGTCCTTTTCCTGCTCCTCTTCCCCCTCCGCCTCCCTCTCCGCCTCCTCCACCTCTTCATCATCATCCCCTTCCTCCCCCCCCTCCTCCTCCTCTCCCTCCTTCTCCTCCTCCTCCTCCTCCTCCTGCTCATCATCATCATCATCATCATCATCATCATCATCATCATCATCATCATCATCATTATCATCCGTCCTCCTCCGCCTCCCCCTTCGCTTCAACATCATCATCATCATCATCATCATCATCATCATCATCATCATCATCATCATCATCATCATCATCATCATCCGCCTCCTCCTCTTCCTCCTCGTCCTCTTCCTTTTCCTCCTCCTCCTCCTCCTCCTCCTCCTGGTCCCCCCCCCCCTCCTCCGCCTTTTCCCCCGTAGCAAGTTTGGGTCAAGCAGCCGCGCGCATGGATGGAAGATGGCCCCCACCCCATGCGAGGCCCAGCGGCGAGTCAGAGCACGGCACTTCCGTTGACGAGGCCACCCTGGCGCGGAACGCACATTACCACCGCATCTTTCGAGCATTCCAGACGGTTCAGAGGGACGAGTGCCCCAGCACTGTTTTTTGGTTTCAGGGCAGTGGCGCGGCACTTAGCAGCAGGCAATAACGCAGTCACGATCAGCACGTACCTTGCGCCAAGATGCGGGCCGGTGCAAGGTCTGGATACGAGGGCGCCGAGGTCCCCGACCGCATTTGTTCATTCGTTGGCCGAGCCGCCCACTATCCCAGGAGATTGGAACCACGCCCCTAACCACGTGATATCTAGGAAATCCATCTGTCGTTGAAAGGGGTTGCGGTCGGACCACATTGCGCGATCACCTGCGGCAAAAGACAGGGGTCGATGATCGACTTCGCCATCATGAGGGAACGCCAGAGAGCGAGAGAGAGAGAGATATAGAAAAAGAGAGAGAGAGAGAAGTCTCATTCGCGCCAATGATAGACATCCCTGGGAACACGCACTGCGGCACTGCAGTCACGTTTGCAGGCGCGGACAAGCCCGCGCAGCGCAAGAAGCTCGCGCTCCCCAGGGAACCCCGCAGGTCGAGAGGCCCAAGAAGAGCTCCGATCCGACTAGCAAGATTGTGCCTAGGAGGGAAGTTGCACTGGCGAGAAGAGCTCGGCTCGCTCCAGAGTCACGCGAAGCTTTTGACACAGTGAACCCGCCTCCCCGGGTAGCGAGGCGACAACCTCCCCGGCGACTTTCTTTGTTGCCCCACGGGGGTTGGAACGAGCAGCCGGGCAGGTTGGAGACCTGGCCATTTTTCCAGCGCGTTGGAGGCGCGCGCGTTACTTGCGGAGCCCAGCGGCATTTCTTGCGCGGAGCTAACCCCAGTGCCGAAGATCGCGTCAACAGTTGTAATGTCATTTGGGCTTCCAAGGTAAATGTCGACGTTCATTCGCCCCAGATCTCTGAGGAAGAATGAAGGCCGCACCATGGTGGAACTCAGGGGCGCGGCTTCGGATGGTCTCGGGCTAGAGCGACGCCAGGTAGGGCGCACCTAGCCAACGGCCCTGCGAAGTGGCGGGCGGCCACCACCATCCCTCTTAAAGAGGTGCGCGTCGCTGCCACGAGGCGGCAAGGACGAACCACGGAGAGAGCGGCGCGCGCAACCTTCGCAGGCAGCGTGGACAGCCAGACGGGCAGGACTTCTCCGAGTATGTTGGCCAAGACGCGAAGGAGCAAGGCGAGCATGTCGTGGGCGCGTTGAATAATGCGCGGTTGCACGAGACAGAGGATCTGTCAAGCCTGACTGAGGCCGCTGACAGACTTGGCAGCACGCGCACAGGCCCGCAGCTCAGGCAACGCACGCAGAGCATTCGAAAAGTGGGGGCGCTAAGTGGTGGAACAGCAAGCCAGGCACTCTGCATAAGCACGCGAAAAGATGAGCCCTTGCCCGTGCGCACAGCAGAGCTGAATCTGGCCCGACCGCAGTTACGCAAGCTAATCAGCAGGCGCGGTAGGAAAATTGATGGGACCCTGTCGATTCGATTGTCGACGTCGCTAGGGAGCTCCACGGGTCCTTTGTGGGAGAGCCAGGGAGGACCCCTGGGGCCTCATCGAGGAGCCTCAGCTTTTTGGGCGTTTGTTGCAAGGCCCCTTGCGAAAAAGGCCCCTGGGGGGTGGGTGTCTCAATGGTTTCCGAGAACCACGGGTTTCCAGAGGAAGGCATTTCGGAGCTCACATGTCTCGCGAGAAAATCTGGCCGGGTTCGGAGGGCTCTGGCCCGAGCAGATGTTCGCCACGACTTGCGCGCGATGGCCCGAGCCCAGCCAAAGAGGAGACCGCGCGAAAGGAATGCGATCTAATGTCATCAGGCTGCGAAGTAGGCCTGGTTGAATCGCGGGGCCAACGGCTGAATCAGCTCCGGGGCGCGGTTGACAGAAACAGTGAACCCAACGCTGCGAGCAACACTGCCACGCAGCCTGCTCGACGAGACAGCCGCGATCACTGGAGCGCAAGTTGCGATCCATTTGATCACATCGAAAAGTTCTACGACTTTCTCGGTGTAGTTCGATGGATCAGGACTGCGCTCACGCGGGTTTGCCTGATGTGGTCGCGGCCTCAGAGCTCGAATTTCAGCTCGCGCCACGGTTATTGAAGAGCCGCGGCGGCGCCAGCGTCGCGACTTACCCACGCCGCCACCGTCGCGGGGTCTTACTTGGGGGCCCCATTGGCTATGTTGCGTTCGCCCCCTATCCGAGACTGCGCCCATGGGGATGTGCAGGCGCGCAGATCGTGGTCGTTCATGGACGACGCAGGTTCGACAGCCGAAGGCAGGGCAGAGGGCGCAGCGGCACGCTTGTCCGCGCCAGACAGGGCGTTCGCAAAGGAGCTGCAGGATGCTAGGCTGGGAATCTCGAAGAAGACGATTGTCTTCGCAACCTCAGCAGATATGAGGAGGAGCGTCTGCCAGGAGCCGACGAAAGCCGGCGCCCCGCACGAAGCGACAGCCTTTTCGGTCGACATAGGATGCGACACCACCGAAGGCAAAAGCATGGTTTGGACGAAAGCCAAGTCCAGGTTGAGCAAGGCCAGTCAACGATTTCCGAGGATTGGGAAACTACGCAGGTCGGCGAAGTTGGCCAAGATTGCGCAGTGCCTTTGGACCACGGGAGCCCTTCCCCTAGCAGCATATCGGCACCAGTTGCACGGTCTCAGTCCCAGAACCATCCAGCATCTTCGCAGACAAGCTGGTTGGGCCACTGCAGGAGGCGACGCAGGCAGATGTTCAACGACGATATCAGGGATTGCCCAGGCCTGGAGCTCCCGCGCCAGTTTGTCCTAGAGTTGTTCGTTGAGTTGGAAGGCTTCAAGAGCTGCACGATCGCATGCGAGCGGCATGGAAGCAGTTGACGCCCAGTCTCTGGAAGAAACGCACGCGTTAGAGATATGTCAAGGGCCCAGGCATTGCAACGCTTTGCGAAGCTGGATGGGTGCCAGAAGCACCCGAAGCGGGGCGCAGGCCTAGGGAAGGAGGTGGCGAGCTCTGGAGACTTTCCGAGAAAAGATGACGAAGGTTTCGACCATGGCGACGCCGATGCCACTGGTCTGTTGGCCGACCTGGCCCAGGATCTCTCGCTGCAGCTGTGGGCCCAGGTCTCCGTTCACCATGCGCGCGAGGGCTTCGAGCTTGGAAGGGGCTCATCTCTGGCCTGCGGGAAGGGAAGCTAACAGCGCTGCTGCCCATGGTCAGCTTGATGCAGCAGGTCTCCAGAATGTTACAGTGTTTCACGCGAGAGCGCCAAACAGATCCCCCCAAAGAAATGAGACACGTGGATATGAAGTTCCGAAGATATGCCCGTGCGGCAAAATAGGGGCGGGAACATCGTTCCACAGGTTTTGGAAGCGCCCGTGCAGCGCAGGCTTCTCGGAGTTTGAGAAGAGTGATAGCTTGCTTCCCCAGGCGCAGACTCAGTGCGCGCAGCGTCCAGCGCTGCAGCGCCCAGTGTTCTGGCTTAGAAGCATCCCCCCAATTCGGTCACGCACATGTTTGTTTTTCCTGCGGGTGATGCCCGCGCGGCCGAGGTTTTGCCCCACACCCAGATTGGGACTGCGGTTGTCTCTGGCGACGGGTCGGGGGGACCGCAGAGCGCGGACCTTCGTGGGCGCAGGCGCGGATGCGCCACCGCCATGTCGCAGGCTGGCGCGAACGGAGAGCGGCGACAAGCGCGGAGGTGTTCTACCCCTGCGGTGGGGAATACAGAGATTGCCCCCCTTCAGAGCTGCTTGCCTTCGCGTTGGCGGTCGAGAACGCAGGGCGTCAGAAACGCGGCCCAGGCGCTGATTCCGAGAGAAGGAACGGTGAGAACCAGGACATGTGGTCCAGGGTTCGCGCGGTGCCCACGATGCCCATGGAAGTCGCCCCGAAATTGAACCCCTCACATATGGACGAAGCCCCGAACGGTGGCGCTGATCTGTTGAACCCCCTGTCTTATCCGGGGCAATGCTCTGGCTGACGGAGAGGCGGGGTTGGCGGCGGGCAGGGGGGCGGGCGACTCCGGTGGAAGGAGGAGAGCCTAGCGCGGACCGTTGGGGCGCCGTTTGCACCCTGGTCCGATCCCGAGACAGGGAAGCCCGAACCTTGGCAGTTGAGGTCGACCCGTGGAGAGGGGAGCAGGCCCAAGCTGTCAGACGAGTGCACCCGCCCAGGTTCAAAACCGCCATTGCCACCTCGAGCCGCCGTTGGAACAAAGCGGGAGGCATTGGCAGCGTGGTCAAATGTTAGATTATGGTGCCAGCGTCCAGAATCATCCACGCTGCCTGCACGACCTGCAGAGGCCCCCCTCCCCCTCAGCCAGAAGGTGGCGCTGCGGGGACAAAGTGCAGGAGCGCACTGGCGGTAGGACGAGATGCGCACCCATCGTGTACTGTGCAGAAGTGGGAGCGCTACCTGACGAGTCGTTGCACCACTTGCGGGGATGGCAGGCACCTGGCGTCAGAATGCACGGGGCTCGTTCGTAGTGGCGAAGAGAAGTTACTCCGCATCGGGGGAGGCAAGTACCTCGCAGAGAGGGTCCCCACGGACCTTCTGATTGCCCGCGTTGTGCGTGACGCAAGCGGCCCGACGAGTCGAGCCCCACCAGCGTCACCTGGGGATGCGGGCGGCCCGTCCGTCATGGCAGCTGGCCCCGCCCCCCCAGTTGGGGGGGGCAAGTGTCTGGCTGTCGTGGTGCGGTGGTGACAGGCCTTGGTCATGCCAGGGTTTAGGCACCATCGTGCGGGGGTCGTCCTCGCCCCCCTCCCCCACCCCCACCCCCCGTACGACCCTCCACTCTTTGGTCAAAAGGTCCAAAAAATCCTCCACATCTTCCCTCCTTCCTGTTCCCTCCTCCCCCATTATCCTGCTGATCCCCATCATTTTGCTGCGCGTCCTCACCCTCCTCATCATAATCATCGTCGTCATCATCGTCATCGCCACGTCACCATCCTGATCGACGTCCTCCTTTTGTTTATGCGTTGTTTCCTGGACGCGTGGCTCAAGCGCACAAGCGATCCGACTGACCCCTGGACCGCCGATTGTGCAGAAACAGAACCCCAGGCATTGAGTGCAAGCACTATTTGCTTGGGAAAAAAGCTGATAGCGACGCTGCCTCATCCTCACTTCCCTCCCCCCCAAAGGGCACGCAGAAGGTCTGCCAGACGGATTTCGAGATTCCCGACAACGAGATCCCATACCACTGCAAGTCGTTGATTAAGCAAGAGGAGAAGGGGACGAGCAGGAGAAGGAGAAGAAGGAGGGAAAGGGACAGACAAGAAGAATAGGAGGAGGAGCACCGCATTTGACCGAACTGTCGGTTCTGTCACGGTAGTGCACGGGGGACAATGTGCCAACACACCTTTCATGAGATCTACAAGGAGTTGTATGCCCACACGCTGTCACGCCAACTACCGGAGGCTGTATGCCCACGCACTTTCCAAGGTACGCCATCCACGCTGTGAGCTGACTCCTGCCCCATGGCGCCTACTGCGCCACTTAGGGCTTCATCTCAAGAATGATAAGGGAAAACGAAGACCGCAGCACTGACATTGCCTCTCTTAGGATGGCGACAATGCCTTAATTTGCTGAGGGCTGCTGCTTCAGCGTTTTTGGGAGGGGGCGAGGGCAGGGGCTTTTGAACTCGTAAAATATTGGGCATTTATTTGCATAACATTGGGATTTGAGGCACGTAGTCCGTTCAAAACTCGTGTGCGACAGCTCGCACATCCATCTAGCATGTTGCTGGACCCACTGGTGGGCCTGCCCTGGTTGTTGGTCGTTCCCAGGAGGATCGACAACTTCGGCCCCAGCACCCACATCCAGCCAGGGGGTGGAGACGGAGGCAGAACGACCAGTACAGCTCCCACCAGGGGCTTAAACGACTGGTTTGAAAAATAGCTCGGCGCAGGTTTTATCTCCAGGCTTCGATGCAATCGCAGGCCAGGTGGGCAAGCCTAGCGCGAGAAAATTAGCCTGAAGGTCTGCTCCAGCTGGCCACCCACCGCCCCTCTTCTGAGCTGCGGTGTCGGCGACTCTGTCAGCCATATCGTTCCTGGGGGCGTGGAGTCGTCCCCTGGATAGAAAAGAAGGCCATCCAAGTCTTGATAGAGGTCTACTTTGAAAGTCGGTGTGAGGGTGGCCCCTGTGCAACTAAACTGATCACGCAGCTCTAACCTAGCCGTCGTGGGGAGAACGAGTTGCGCGCAGACGAAGACAAGTGTGAGACGAAGACAAGCGTGAGCGGCCAGGAGGGCGCGGGGCTCAGCTGCAGAGAAGGTGGGCGGAATCAACACGCTAACACGCTTGTCCCCCCAAACAGGTGAGCGGCACAATTTCCCTCGCCATTCAGCACAGCTATAGACCGGCCCGTTTGGCGCCACAACGCCGGCTCATGAAGCGGAGGAGGAGGAGGAGGAAGCAGAAGAGGAGGAGGAGGAGAAGGAACAGGCTGGTCTCGTGGCGCTCTCCCAGAGCCTTCAGATCTACTGTCGGCTCGCGCACGCAATTGCCGCCCGACGGGCATTTCAAGCCAATTGGCCAGAGGCCCCGAGGCTCTTAGCTTGTGGTGTCATCGTCCCGTGCTGGTGTCCAGCCGCTCTGGTTTGAGGGCTGCCGGCTGACGTGGGCAGGTAGGCTCGGGCTTGGCGTGCGCTCCTTGGTGTCATGGCTTTCACCTTGCAGTCTCGCTTGCGCTGGCGCGACGACCGAAGCGTTCCAGGACACGAGTCTTGGGGATCCGTGCATGTGCAGCTCACCCATGCGAAGGAGATTGGTCGAAATGCTGTAGATGACTCGTTCTGCATTGCGGAACTTGGTGGTGAGGTTTGCACCAGACCTTTACTGGTTGTTCTTTCCTCAGCCCACCTGTCATTGGAGTGATTCAGACCTCACCCTTTCCCGCGGAAGGAGGAGGAGGAAAAAAAAGAGGAGTGATAGGAAGGGGAAGGGGGGAAACGAGGAGGAGGAGGAGGAGCAGGAGCAGAAGGAGTAGGAGGAAAAGGAGGAGGATGAGCAGGGGAAAGAGGGAGGAGGAGGACGGCCGGAGGATGAGCAGGGAAAAGGAGGAGGATGAGCGGGGACGATGATGAGGGGTGAGGAGAAACAGGAGGAGGAGGACCAGGAGGAGGAGGACGGCCGGGGCAGCAGCGGTAGCAGTAGCAGCAGGGGGAGCAGGATGACGCGGAGGAGGAGGAGGAGGAGGAGGAGGAGGAAGAGGAAGCCAGGAGAGTGCCAAGAAGAGGATGCGGAGGTCGGCAGGAACAGGGGGAGGAACAGGCCAGGAGGAGAGGATGAGGAAGGGACAGGAGTAGGGGAACGATGAGGAGGAGTCTGAGGCAAGGAGGCCGAGAGGAGGAGGAGGAGGAGTAGGAGGAGGAGGAGGAGGAGGAGGAGGAGGAGGAGGAGGAGGAGGAGGAAGGGGCGGAGAGCAGCAACAGCAGCAACGGCATCGGGAGAAGCAACAGGACGCAGAGGAAGAGGGCAGGAGGAGGGGAGGAAGGGAAGAAGGGATGGGGAGGCAAGAGGAAGCCAAGACAAGGGGGAGGGGGAGGGGCCAGGAGGCAAGGGAGGAGAAGGAGAGGACCAGGAGGCCAAGGAGAGGAGACCAGGATAAGGAGCAGCAGCAGGTCGCTATTCGACCTGCACCGCCTCAGCTACGACAAGAGGATCGCGAGAAGCCAATTCGATGAGTGGGTGTGGAACGACCCATCGCCCCGGTCCAGCCTTCTTGCAGGGGGCGAGAGGGGAAGAGGGGGAATTTTCTTTTCCTCCTCCTCCTCCTCCTCCTCATCATCATCATCGTCATCATCATCATCATCGTCATCATCATCGTCACCGTCATCGTCATCATCCTCATCATCAGCATCAGCAGCATCGTCATCAGCATCATGATCATCATTATCATCATCAGCATCATCAGCATCATCATCATCATCATCATCATCATCATCCCCCTCCTCTCTCTCCTTTCTCCCTCCTTCCCCCGTCCTTTCTCGCCCCGTCGCGCGTGCGGGAGCGCGCGACAAGGGAGAGGTGCAGGGATAGAAGAAGGAGGATGAAGAGGAGGGGGCACGAGGGGGTAGAAGAAGGAGGAGGTTCAGGGGTAGAGGAAGGAGGAGGAGGAGGAGGAGGAGGGGAGAAGGTGTAGGGGTAGAAGAAGGAGGCAGAGGAGGAGGAGGAGGAGGAGGAGGAGGAGGAGGAGGAGGTGTAGGGGTAGAAGAAGGAAAAAGGAAGAAGGAAGAGGAGGAGGAGGTAAAGGGATAGAAGAAGGAGAAGAAGGAAGAGGGGATCAGGACGAGCTAGGTGCGCTCGCGCCTCATCTGACATCCTATCCCTCCCTCCCATCCCTTCCCGTCGCGCTGATGTTTTGTCTATCCGCGGACGCGTGTCATAGCCGACCTGGAACTCCAGCCAAAAGACCACACGGTTTTTCCCCACATGCTTAGTGGGGTTATGGTTTTCTTCCCTGTCGCGCCGCACCCGCGACACACCTCACTCTTCGTACAGCACAGCTCAGCACAGCACATCACAGCACAGCACAGCACAGCACAGCTCAGCTCAGCACAGCACACAGCTCAGCTCAGCTCAGCACACAGCACAGCTCAGCACAGCTCAGCACAGCCCAGCACAGCTCAGCTCAGCACAGCACAGCACAGCTCGTGGCACTGGCGCAAAGCCTAGCAGGCGTGGCACTTTCTCGACACCACAGGGGGGTGCGCAGGGGGTGGTCTCTCAGTTCGGCCGCTATCCACGACACTGGCGCAAAGCCTAGCAGGCGTGGCACTTTCTCGACACCACAGGGGGTGCGCAGGGGGTGGTCTCTCAGTTCGGCCGCTATCCACGACACTGGCGCAAAGCCTAGCAGGCGTGGCACTGTCTCGACACCACAGGGGGTGCGCAGGGGGTGGTCTCTCAGTTCGGCCGCTATCCACGACACTGGCGCAAAGCCTAGCAGGCGTGGCACTTTCTCGACACCACAGGGGGTGCGCAGGGGGTGGTCTCTCAGTTCGGCCGCTATCCACGACACTGGCGCAGGCGTGGCACTTTCTCGACACTGCGCAGCTCTCAGCCGCGGCGTAGCAGGCGTGGCACTTTCTCGACACCACAGGGGGTGCGCAGGGGGTGGTCTCTCAGTTCGGCCGCTATCCACGACACTGGCGCAAAGCCTAGCAGGCGTGGCACTTTCTCGACACCACAGGGGGTGCGCAGGGGGTGGTCTCTCAGCTCGGCCGCTATCCACGACACTGGCGCAAAGCCTAGCAGGCGTGGCACTTTCTCGACACCACAGGGGGTGCGCAGGGGGTGGTCTCTCAGTTCGGCCGCTATCCACGACACTGGCGCAAAGCCTAGCAGGCGTGGCACTTTCTCGACACCACAGGGGGTGCGCAGGGGGTGGTCTCTCAGTTCGGCCGCTATCCACGACACTGGCGCAAAGCCTAGCAGGCGTGGCACTTTCTCGACACCACAGGGGGTGCGCAGGGGGTGGTCTCTCAGTTCGGCCGCTATCCACGACACTGGCGCAAAGCCTAGCAGGCGTGGCACTTTCTCGACACCACAGGGGGTGCGAGGGGGTGGTCTCTCAGCTCGGCCGCTATCCACGACACTGGCGCAAAGCCTAGCAGGCGTGGCACTTTCTCGACACCACAGGGGGTGCGCAGGGGGTGGTCTCTCAGCTCGGCCGCTATCCACGACACTGGCGCAAAGCCTAGCAGGCGTGGCACTTTCTCGACACCACAGGGGGTGCGCAGGGGGTGGTCTCTCAGCTCGGCCGCTATCCACGACACTGGCGCAAAGCCTAGCAGGCGTGGCACTTTCTCGACACCACAGGGGGTGCGCAGGGGGTGGTCTCTCAGTTCGGCCGCTATCCACGACACTGGCGCAAAGCCTAGCAGGCGTGGCACTTTCTCGACACCACAGGGGGTGCGCAGGGGGTGGTCTCTCAGTCGGCCGCTATCCACGACACTGGCGCAAAGCCTAGCAGCGTGGCACACACAAGGGGCAAAGGCAGCACACCACAGGGGTGCGCAGGGGGTGGTCTCTCAGCTCGGCCGCTATCCACGACACTGGCGCAAAGCCTAGCAGGCGTGGCACTTTCTCGACACCACAGGGGGTGCGCAGGGGGTGGTCTCTCAGTCGGCCGCTATCCACGACACTGGCGCAAAGCCTAGCAGGCGTGGCACTTTCTCGACACCACAGGGGGTGCGCAGGGGGTGGTCTCTCAGTTCGGCCGCTATCCACGACACTGGCGCAAAGCCTAGCAGGCGTGGCACTTTCTCGACACCACAGGGGGTGCGCAGGGGGTGGTCTCTCAGCTCGGCCGCTATCCACGACACTGGCGCAAAGCCTAGCAGGCGTGGCACTTTCTCGACACCACAGGGGGTGCGCAGGGGGTGGTCTCTCAGCTCGGCCGCTATCCACGACACTGGCGCAAAGCCTAGCAGGCGTGGCACTTTCTCGACACCACAGGGGGTGCGCAGGGGGTGGTCTCTCAGCTCGGCCGCTATCCACGACACTGGCGCAAAGCCTAGCAGGCGTGGCACTTTCTCGACACCACAGGGGGTGCGCAGGGGGTGGTCTCTCAGCTCGGCCGCTATCCACGACACTGGCGCAAAGCCTAGCAGGCGTGGCACTTTCTCGACACCACACGGGGTGCGCAGGGGGTGGTCTCTCAGCTCGGCCGCTATCCACGACACTGGCGCAAACCTAGCAAGCGTGGCATTTTCTCGACACCACAGGGGGTGCGCAGGGGGTGGTCTCTCAGCTCGGTCGCTCAGAGGGCTCAGAACGCAGGATTGTGCATATATATATATACATATATATATAATATACATAAGCAAACACATAAGATTTAAATTAAGTATGTGGGATTCCTCGGTAGCGTAATGTGCGCAATCGGATCAAGGTGAGTTGCGTGCACAGGAAGAGGAGGAGGAGGAAGAGGTGGCGGGTGAGCAGGAGGATGAGCGGTTGGAAAAGGACGACGAACAGTAGCAGCAGGAACTGGAGTGGAAGGAGCGGGAGGAACAGGAGGACCACGGGAAGGCGAAGGAGGGGGCATGACGGGGGAGACAAAGATGAAGAAAGAGTCGGATCCAGAATAGTGGCCCGCGATTGGGCGAGAGCGACATTCGGAACGACTGGAGCACACCGCTGGTCCGAGAATGAGGCCCACGCTACAGCGGGAGCACCATTGTGAAGCACCGAAGATAGTCGGATTGTACAGAATCATCGGAGAAACAATGCTTGAGATCCTATGTGTTCAAAACAGCACGCGGAGAGGGCCTGGTATCTTCCGGACGGAGTCAGGGGAAAGAGGAGAGTGAGATTCACATTTTGGAAATGTAAAGAAGGGGGAAGACAGGGAAGTATGCGATGGGCCTGGTTTCCCCCATGTTCTGGTGCTCTAGAGCCTTCGACGGCCTTCAGGACCCTATTTCGCTGGTTGTTTGACAGGCTGGCTGATTGACTGGCTGGCTGAGTGGCTGGTTCATTGGCTCGCCAGCTGATCGCTTGGCTTTCTGGTTAGTTGGGCGGTACACTGGCTGGCTGATTGGCTGGTGGGTTGATTGGTTGGCGGGTGGTTGGTTTGGTTGGTTTGGTTGGTTGGTTATCTGGCTGGTTGATGTGTTGACTGGTTGGTTGGTTGGAATGTTTGGTGGCGTCTGAGTGGTTGTGGGTTGGTTATTCATTGAATGTGTGATCAAAGTGTGTGCGATAACCAGATCAACTTGGACAGGTGCTGGCCACATTCTTATTGGGTCTTGGTTGGGTTCTGGTTGGGTTACGATCCATGTCATGCTACACGGTGCTAGGCCATACCCTCATTGCCGTCTTTGCCGGCAATTCTACGAGTTAAAGGTGTCTCGGAGGTAGGAGGAGGTCATACAGATTATGTTGTCGTTCTCTCCTCCCCTTTCATTATCCTTTCCTCCACTTCCCCATCCTCCTCATCCCGGTCTTTCATACAGATGTTCCACGATGCGCAGGGCTTGCCTGACATCCTCGCGCAGGTAAAGATAGTTAACCAAGAGCAGGGCCATGTGTTCCAGATTTTGGCAAACGGCCAGTTCCACGTGACACCGCAGGACTTGCAGAACAGCAAGGATTTCGTCGCCACCTTGCGGGATGCCTCGCAGCAGGAGCTGAGAACTCTGATCCAACTGATGCTGCTTGAAAGCTCAGACCACATGAATGGGCTGATTCACGTGGACGCCTTCCATACTGTTCTCAGGCCCTGGAACATTTTCAACGAGTGCGATCTTGATGGGGACCACAACTTAGACGAGAAGGAAGTGGAGATCCTCCTGTGGATCCAGCTCCGGCAAAGGCCTACCGAGAAGGTGCAGGAGGAATTCACCAGGTTCATTGACATCGATGATGATGGCGGCATCTCCAGAGAGGAGCGGGAGCCCCGAAAGACGATGCAAGCTTCATGATCAATTTGTTCCCCCCGCCCCACATATGCGCCCCATAAGCAGCAGAGGGCCGATTTCCGGAAGGAGGCGGTGAAGGGTGGCCCTGTGCTATTGAAGTCATTTTTCGTTCACCGCTCGCTTGTTTAAGAATCTTCGCCAGACGGGCCGAATATGGTTTGAAAATGGGCACAAATACATGCCGAACGATGTCAAGGACGGCCCCGCAGGAGGCTAAAAACGCGATCTGAGATCTCCGCGGAGAGCAGCAGAGGGAGGGTGACAATGTCCTTCCCCATCCTCCCTCCTCCACCCAACCTTTTCACCCTCCTCCACTTTCACAGCGGCCTCTTCCCACTCCTCCTCCCCTTCCTCACTCCAACCTCCTCCTCAGCATCATCATCCTCCTTCTCCTGCTGCTCCTCCTCCTCCTCCCCCTCCTCCTCCTCCTCATTATCATCATCATCCTCATCCTCATCCTCATCCTCATCCTCTCCATTTTCTTCCTACCTCCTCCTCCCCCTCCACTTCTGCGATGGCCCCCTCACCCTCAACCTCCTGCTTCTCCTCTTACTCGTACCTCCTCTCCTCCTCCTCCTCCTCCTCCTCCTCCTCCTCCTCCTCCTCCTCCTCCTCCTCCCTCCTCTCCTCCTCTTCCTCCCTCCTTCCTCCTCCTTCTCCTCCTCCTCCTCCTCCTCCCCGACCTCATCCTCCCAATCCTCCTTCCCTCCTCCTCTTCATCGTCGTCCTCCTGCTTCTCCTCCTCCTCTTCCTCATCCTCCTCTTCTTCACCATCATCATCATCATCATAAGCAGCAGCAGCATCATCATAATCACCATCATCATCAGCAGCATCATCATCAGCATCATCGTCATCGTCATCGTCGTTATCATCATCATCAGCATCATCATCATCATCAGCAGCAGCAGCATAATCATCATCATCGTCATCGTCATCATCGTCATCGTCATCATCAGCATCATCACCATCATCATCAACATCATCATCGTCATGAGTATCATCATCAGCATCATCATCATCAGCATCATCATCAGCAGCAACAGCACAAGCATCCGCAGCAGCGGCAGCAGCACCAGCAGCAGCAGCAGCATCGTCATCATCATCATCATCATCATCATCATCATCAGCAGCAGCAGCAGCATCATCATCCGCATCAGTATCAGCATCAGCATCAGCAGTATCAGTAGTATCATCATCAGCAGCAGCGGCAGAAGCAGTATCATCATCATCGTCATCGTCATCATCGTCATCATCATCATCCGTATCATCAGCATCACCAGCATCAGCATCGACATCGTCGTGATCATCATCATCGTCAGCAGCAGCAGCAGCAGCTGCATCATCATCATCAGCAGCAGTATCATCCTCATCATCCGCATCAGCATCAACAGCAGCAACAGCAGCAACATCAGCAGCATCAACATCAGCACCCGCATCATCGTCGTCGTCAACATCATCATCATCATCATCATCATCATCATCATCATCATCATCATCACCATCATCAGCAGCAGCATCATCAGCATCATCATCACCATCATCGGCATCATCGTCATCGTCAACATCAGCAGCATCATCATTAGAATCATCATAATCAGCAATGCCATCGTCAGCATCAACATCAACATCATCAGCATCATCATCGTAATCCGCATCAGCATCATCATCATCAGCAGCAGCAGTGTCCGCATCATCATCACCACCATTATCATCACCATCAGCATCATCACCATCGTCATCGTTATCGTCATCGTCATCATCATCATCATCATCATCATTATCATCATCATCATTATCATCATCATCATCATCATCATCATCATCATCATCATCATCATCATCATCATCATCATCATCATCATCGGCAGCAGCATCCATATCATCATCCATCCCTCCTCCTCCTCCTTCTCCTCCTCCTCCTCCTCTTCCTCCCCGTCCTCCTTCTCCTCCTCCTCCTTCTCCTCCTCCTCCCATTCACCTCTTCCCCCACACACGCACACAAACACACACACACACACACACACACACACACACACGCCACACCACACCCCTCCCCATCCTCCCTCTCGCCCTCCCCCTTGGGGGGGAGGGGATGGAGACGCCCTGCACGGGGAGGGCCGCCGCGACGACAGGAGTGGGTCCAGAAGATCATCGAGCTGCAGCAAAAGAGGGCGGCCTCACGGATCGCGGCGAGGTCCCCCTGCAAGTCCGAGCGCGGGGACACGCCGTCGCCCGCGCCGCCGGCGGGGGACAGGTCCATTCACCGCCGCTACCTTTTCATGAAGGAGGGTGGAGGGAAGGAGGGGGAGGAGGAGGAGGAGGAGGAGGAGGAGGAGGAGGAGGAGGAGGAGGAGGAGGAGGAGGAGGAGGAGGAGGGGCAGGAGGAGGGGGAGAAGGACTCGAGGAGGAGGAGGAGGAGGAGGAGGAGGAAGAGGGCGTGCGACGGCGGGGCGGGCGACGACGACGCTCCCAGAGCCCCCTCGAGGAGAGGGGGGGCCAGACCCTCTCTCGTCACGAAAAAATAAAACAGCAGAGCAACAAAAGCTGACAATGGCAAACAACAGGAGACAAACTGCTTGTGCGGCTTCAGGTGAGAAGGGGGGCTGAGCCAGCCGCGGACTTCCTTGGGGGGCGGAGTTGACGGGGCGCAGCATCGATAGCGGATGGGCCGGCACGCCCACTATGTAGCAGCAATCGGCTTGATGGAGTAGTTGGGCGAGCCTTGGCATTGGCAGGAAGGTCGCAGAGCAGCAGACATGATGAGGCACGTTGCATGGTTGCGTGCGTCCTCCACACTTGCCTCTAATCGCCGTCAGGCTCTGCCAGCTCTCCTTCACACAAGCTCCCACCCGCCCGAGCGGCAGAGTCAGCTCAAAGAAGCAAGCATCGCTGGAAGGCCACGCGCAGACCTCCGCCAGACTATAGGTGCCATGGTAGTGGCTGCACCTGGTCCAAGAGGGCCCTAGGCCCCATGGCCGGCTGTGGGCCTTGTTTGGGCCGCAGCGCGGCGCTGCGACACGGGGATGGCTCAGGGGCCAGATTGGGCGCAGTCAGTGTGTTGGCGGAGGTTGGCGGCCGTGGACGGGTCACTCCCTGGGGCCGGGGCAGGCCTTGGATGGCTCCCGATCGCGGCCCTTCCAACCCTGGGGAGGCCGCCGGGTGATGAGTCACCTCGCTTGCATTGCAGAGTGCCCAAGACCGGCCTGAGTCATGACCTCTCCGTGCGCAGTCAATCCGGGATGTTCTGTCCGGACAAGGGAGAAAACGCGCGAACGAGCACGAAGGATGCGCGGCTCTTGCATTTCTCCTCCGCGGAAGGGGAGAGATGGGAGTAAGCACGGCGAGGTCGATGCTTTATTCGCTTTTTTCCCATTCGCCGCCCAGGGTCCCAGATACGGGATCGGGCGGCGGAGCTCCCAAGTTCAAGCTCGACCGTCACCTTGGAAATCCCACTGATCGCCCCATGTGTCGTAAGGGCTGGCGGGGGTGCACACTGTTGACCCGGAGTCTTACGACTGCCGCCTGACGTCCCCGAGAGGCTCCGCCACAGCCCAAACAAACCCACAACACCAGCAGAAGCACACCAAGAATACGGTAGGTTGTTGTCAAATTTCGGCCTTTTCGGGGGGCCTTGGCCGGAACCCAGGGCCGTCAGAAACGGTTCGGGGCGAAGAATATGCCTTGTGGAAGGGGTCTAGACGTTTGATGATCGACAGTGTGAAAAAATACGACGTCGGAGATCTGGGGAGGGAGGGGCGTGGACGAGGAAAGAGGAGTGAGGAGGGAGGGAGGACAAAGATGGAGCCGGGAGGAAGAGGAGGTGGCCGCCAACCCCTATTTCCCCCCCTGTCTCTTTTTGTTGTCCTCTTTCTCGCGCGCGCTTTTTTTCTCTTCCCTCTTCACTATCACCGCTTCCTCTTCAAACTCCGCCTTTGCTCCTCCTCCCAAATGGTAAACGTGGTCATTTTCATGTCTCTACTTTCCTCCTGCTCCTCCCCAACCTCCTTCGTCTCCTCTTCGTCCTCCTCCTCCTCCTCCTCCTCCTCCTTCTCCTCCTCCCCCATTTCCTCCTCCCCCATCTCCTCCTCCTCCTCCTGCTCCTCCTCCTCCTGCTCCTCCTCCTCCTTCTCCTCCTCCTTCTACTTGTCGGGCTCGCGCCCGAGTCGCCTAGCCGTGCCTGCACGCGCCTGTTGAAAATCCTCCTCCTGGCACCTGTGCCAGTGGGTCCCATTCCCGGGTAAACAAGCGGGTTGCAGCCCGATCGTCACCTCGTCCGTGCCTGTCCTAGGGTCGTGGGCAACCACGATGTTCGTCGGCAGGGGCGGGTGGGGGAGAGACTCTTGCACCTCGTCGGTTCGTTTTGCCCGATCTGTCCTTCCCATGGCCGGGGTCCCCCCCCCCTGGTGTGCGTGGGGGTGGGTTTGTCTCGCGTGGGAGTGGTGCTCGACGGTGGTTGACTGGGGCGGCACAGCCAAATGGCGCGTCGTTATCTGAGGGCGCTTGCGCCTGCCAGCTCGAAAATGTCAGACCGCGCGGTGCACCAAGGTGCGTGCAGCTTGGTTT